AGCCAATGCAGCGCTCAGCAACCCCATTCTGGCGGTGCCGTGCTCCGCACAGAAGGCTGCGTAGAGGTCGGAGGAGAACTCACCACCTCTGTCAGAGTGCATACGCAGGACAGGAAAGTCCGACTGGAACCGCTCGCGGAGCTGGAGACGATTAGCGCGGATCCAGGGGATCAAAACATCAGGGACCTCCCCCTTGCGCTGCAAGGGGAAGACCATGGTGTAACGCGTGTAGTCGTCGACGACCAGCAGGAAGTACTGCTCGTGGCCCTGTCCACGGACGCGGGCTGGGCCCCACACGTCCAGGTGGAGAGTCTGCAGTGGAGCCTCTGTGGGAGGGAACGAGGAGGAGTGAGGAGCGGCGCGCCACCCCTTGACGCAAGGAATGCAGGGCGGCGCAGGCGAGGGAGGGAGGGCAGGTTGAGACCTGGGAAGGCCAGAGATCAGGAAGCGAGAGTGCGAAGGCGAGGCAGGGAGGGGTGACCAAGGCAGTGGTGCCACAGGAGAGTGTCGTGCGACAGGCGGCGACACTCACACTGGGTAGCTACCTGAGCAGACGCGTACAACTAGGGAGACAAAGGGGTGTAGCGTGACGCAGTGGTGAGGGTGTACAGACTTGACCCAGGCGCACGTGTGAACGTGGCTAGGTGACAGCCGGTCCGGGAGCACGTGCAGATCGCCACACGCTGCCCTCTAGGAGTAAAGGTGTCAACCCAGTGATCCTGAAGGACGGCGCTGCTCACCAAGTTCGTAGAGAACGACGGGAGGTGGAGACCAGACAGCTCACCAGATGGGACCTTCGGACACGGAAGCACAGTGGAAGACCGTGCAAGCACTGGGTCCCCAGAGGAGTCAGCCAGTGAGACAGGTACAGGTGCAGGGAGGGGAGTGACTGTGGTGTTGTCGCGAAAGAAACAGCGGGAAGCACCAGAGTCAAGTGTGAAGGTGTGCAAGGCCTGTGCGAACGCAGTACCAGGGGGAGCAGACTCACAAGCACCTAGTGCCACAGGCGCTATATTTGAGGCTATACCGGGGTCAGGTGGCACACACAAGTAGCAGTCACCCTCAGCACTAACAGTCAATGCATACATGGCAGCAAGAATAGCCTCATAGTCAAGATCAAAGATAGGTACATCACGCCTAAGCAGGTCTGCCCAGTTGGGGAACTCAGTAGCATCAGGAAACTTGACGCGCCAGGCGTTTCTAAGCCGAGCGATGCAGCGGTACTCAGTGTGAAACCCTGTGCACTGGTGACCAGCGCGGGGACCTGTGCGAATGATATAGGGGCAGCAACCAGGACCCCCAGACGCCCCACGCCCGGCATACTAGTCAAGAAGCTGCTGGGAAGTGGGGGTCTGGCGCTGACGCTGTTGCGGCTGCTGCTGCTGCTGCCGCTGGCCACCACTGGTGTCACCCAAGCCCCCACCACCGCTGCCACCACCACTCCCCCCTCCGCTACCACCGCCGCCGCCACCGCCACCGCTCCCGGCACCACCACCGCCCCCACCACTACCTCCACCCCCACGACCACCGCCACCTCCTCCACCACCCCCGCCGCCTCCACCACCGCCCCCTCCACCGCCACGTCCGCCACCCCTGCCACCCTTGCCTCCCTTGAAGCCTCTGCGCTTCCCACTCGGAGCGAAAGCAGCTGCGACCTTCTAAGCACCAAGGAGGTCGACAGCAGCAGCTGCGGAGGCGTAGGAGGGGGTAAGAGGGGAGGGGGAGCACCCCTCAAAGAGGGGAGTGCGGGGAGTACCACGAGCAGCACCTACAGCTAGAATGTTCTTCTCGGCTGCTAGGAGGTGCTTCTCGAGGTCATCGACAGTGAGAGAATGGGGGTCAAGGGCGAGGAAGTGGTCCCTGACTGAGTGAAGAGTGTCAGGGAGGCGGGTGATGAGGAAGTAGAGAGTAAAGTACATCGGGGGGTGGTTCTCTGCTGGAAGGGCGGCACGAAGGCGACTGTCACTAGCGCGTAGGTGAGAGATGAGGTCCTCAGCGGTGGTAAACGAGGACAGGTCGGGGAACAGGTAGGGTAGCATAAGTCGACCGAGGGCTGCAGTGGCCGGGGAAGAGTAGCGGGCAACTACAGCGTCGTACAGTGCCTTGGCAGTCTTGTGCTGGCAAAAATGCGCGCGCTCAATGATCGGCAGATGGTTGCCAATAGCGAGGCGCGCAGCAGCATCGTGGGTCTGCCACTGGGAGCGGTCTAGAGCAGGCTCAGTGTCAGCAGGAGCAACGGCAGTGCCAGTCACGTAATCGAACAGGGGAACACCGTCCTTGGCATCAGTCAGAAGGAACAGTTGCAGGTCGTCAAGCCGAGTGGTAAACTCTACTGGGCGAGTGTCAGGATTGAACGCGAGCACGTTGAGAGTTGCCATGCTTGCAGTGTAGGCAAGTCTAGCGCGCAGGCGGCAAGGCAAAAGGCAGGCAAGGAGAGGCTGCGTGCAAGGCTGCAGTGGCGGCGCACGGACTGCAGTGGCGGCGCACGGACTCCTAAGGCAGCACGGAGGGCAGCAGTGGGCCGCGCTTGGGCCTCTAAAGCGGCGCGTGGTGCAGCAGCGGACCGCACGCGGGCTCCTAAGGCGGCGCATGGTGCAGAAGTAGGCCGCGCGCTGGCTCCTAAGGCGGCGCGCGAAGCAGTTGCGGGCTGTGCGACCGGAAGAGGCGACGCGCGGGGCAGCAGCGGGCTGCACAGGCGGTTTACGCGGCGCACGGGTCGGCAGCAGGCTGCACGGGCGGCTGACGCGGCGCGCGGGGCCGAAAACGGGCTACGCGGGCGGCGGACGCGGCGCGTAGGGCCTAAGCGGGCTGCACGCGGGCGGCTTACGCGGCGCGCGGGCGGCTGACGCAGCGCGCGGGGCCGAAAACGGGCTGCGCGCGGGCTGCTTAAGCGGTGCGTGCGGGAAAAAAAAGGGTCGCGTGCGTGCAGCCGAGGTGCGCGCGGGCAGCAGGCAAGGCAGGCAGGCAGGCAAGGCCATAGGTGAGGTAACACGGTAACAGGTGGGCCCTAATCTTAGGTCGTAAAGACCTATTGCTCTAGATACCATCTTAGAGACTAGGCAAGAATGAGTTTGACTATCAAGAGGATTGGTACAAGGAGAAAACCCTAAGGGGTTATACCTCACATTATCTACCCCACTACAGCCTACCCACAAATACATCATATGCATATGTTTGACAATTATTAGCGTTTCTGCACAGCTCTTGGGCTTGTGCCCACTCTGTCTCACCTGCTGGTTGCTTGACGTGCGCTTGTTGTGCACTGCTATATATCTTTATACCTGCATGTCTACTCTTGCTAGGTTGTGATCAGTGTACTGCCTTGCTATTATAAATCTGCATGTGAACTGCCCTTGCGGCCGCTTGCTTATCCTCAAATTGTGTGGTGTCCTTGAGATCCACCCTGGGCTTTGCCTTGCTTGTTCTCTTGCTTAACTGGTCTTGTGTGACCACTGTTAGATTTGGCTATACCCTACTTCAGCTATGGGGGTGTGTCAAAACATAAGGGCGTATCCAGGTTCGGGTCATGGGCACTGTTCCGGGCATCCGCAATTTGCGGATGACCCAAACAACATAAAACGCCACTTTGGGTCCTCCGAACTCATGCGACCCCCAAAGAGCCGCGAAGGTTTTAGCGCCAAAATCAGGCTCCCCACAACAGTCGCATCCAATGGAGGGATGCCATAACAGTTCGAAACATCCTTAGCAAGACCCATGCGAAACCACGCGAAACCCACCAAAAAAAACACAATCGTCAAAATTCCCGGCGTGAATCCCCAAATGCTGGGAGGGCGACGCGGGAAATTTTTGACCCACTAATGGTCACTGGGGTCAATTTGCCGAGTGGTTGGGTGCAGAGGGGTAAGACGTGGGACATTGCCCACGTGTGACACTCGACTGACGACCGCCAAAAAATGGCAGTAAATCCAGAATCGTGCAACCAGGTGATTGGTTGGGGGTGGATCGTGCACGTCAGTCGCCCAACACCTGCACATTGACCCAAAGCTGGGGCCGCGCGCGGCTCGGCAGCCCACTTCGGGTCATGCGCAAATTCCGCATGACCAGGCCCTCAGATATCAGCGTAAAACACGCTGATTAGGCTGATTTTGTAGCTGGGATTTTCGTTTTCCCTGAAATTTCAGTATCTTCTTTATATTTGCACTGATTTTCCAGTTTGGAGTATAGGACGACCCTGACGAATTACGGTAGTGTATAGGTGTACCAGTGACACTGAACCATCAGTATAGTGTACTGAGTCACACTGATTCGGACTTACCAAAATCCATAGGGTACAAGTCATGGAGTGCGCGGACGTGGGATTAGGCCAAAAATCACCGCCACGCACTAGTAAACCTCTCACTCACGGGACTTGAACCGGTAACCTCTCTAAGCTTCAGACAGCTATGTTAGAAATACTGATTACGATGTTCAAACTTAATTTCTACACTAACAAATCAGTTAACCATGAAATTTTACCCTGACAAAATCAGCATAAACTTCACCCCCAACGCTGATTTGGTCACTACTTTGGGCAGGGCACGCTGATCCATCAGCATGCCCTAAAACCAATCTGAGGGCCTGCGCATGACCCAAACAGTAGCCAGAACAGTGCTCATGACCCTAACCTGGATACGACCTAAGTATGTTCATAGCTTTCTAGGCTATGTAGGGGTTATCCTTAGAGGGTACAACACATTGTTCATTAGTCTTGTACACCCCCCCCCCCCCCCCCCCCCCCCCTTTACCTAATCGACACTCTCTCACTAGATTCTAACAGAATGAGAATGAATAGCAGCAAGGAGATACTAGTGAACCCTAAATGGGTTGTACCCTCTCGAGTGTACCTCACTGTAGCCTATAACCAAACAAATGTATAGTTCGACAGTAACATTGGATGTTATAAACATCATAGCACAGTTAAGGACACCAGGTGTGTCGTGGTGGTGGCGTGCACATGGCCAAACGCAATAGAAGCTTGAAGCAGGCCTTTTTTCTCCGAGTCACCCATCCCTGACCACTCGCACACTGGCGAAGCCAAAGCTCTTGAGCTCCCTCATGGCTTGCTCTTCAATCTGGATGCTGCGCAGCGACGATGCCCTTTCCCCCTCCTCAACCCCCTTGTACCACCGGCTCTCCGCCTCCACTGCAGCAGGGGCAAACCCCCCGCATGTCGTGGTGGTGCCAAGAGCAACAGCAGCAGACGTGCTTCCACCACTACCAGAGGCACGCGTGCGGGCAGATGAGCCATGGGGAGTGGCGGATACGGCAGGAGACGAGGAAGCCGAGAAACGGCTGGGTGAGGGCGAGGGAGCTGGGGAGGATGGGGAGCATGTGACGGGAGCAGAGGCAGCAGGCCGTTGTGGTGGCAGTGCCATTGGTGGTGTGGCAGCATGGGATGGCGACGCGGAGAGCATGGCAGTGGTGGGGCTGCCCCATGAGCCGGAGTGCTGCGCGCGACGGCGTGAAAGCTCCTGGTGATGGGCGACAGGCACAACGCACACAATGGAAATGGAGGGGCACTCAAGTAGCACGGCATGGAGCGAAGAAGAAGTACACAGACATACCATAAACAATGCTGACATAAGGAAGCGCACCTGTTGCTGCTGAATCTCCACCAGTGAAACAGGCTGACGTGCACCCCCTCCTCCTTCCCCTCCCCGCCCACCACTGCCCACCCCCCTGCCGATGCTCATCCCCTGGCTGCGCACCATGGGCTCGTCTCCCACCGTGCCCTCGCCACCACGCTCCTTGGCCCACGGTGCCACTGCTGCTGCCCTTGCCTTGCCCGCGCCGCCACCAGCATCTGGGTGGTGGGCCTTGTGTTGGGTGGACGCCTTGAGCAGCTCCCCCAGAGACACTCTAATGCCCGCTGCCACTCCACCACCCTCGCCGCCTGACCACCCCCCTGCCCCCTGTGCCGCGCCTCCTGCCTCTCGCTCGTGCCCTGCTTGCCCAGGAGATGCGCTGTGAGGGGAAGCTGTCGACACGAACCCCAGCAACCTGGGTGCACCGCCCTGCTGCCCCCTCTGGCCCCGCCGCCCGTTGCTGCCTGTGCGTGTGGAGGCGGCCCTGCCCACGGCACTGACTGCATGTGTGCTGCCCATGGACCTGCCACCGCTGCTGCCACTGCCACTACTGCCTCCAGCAGAGGGGCCGTGTCCAAGGGGGCGGGAAATGGATGCAGGTGCAGTGTGCAGCACTGCCCTGCTGCTGTGCTGCTGCTGCTGCTCACTCTGAATGTCGCGCAGGGAGCGCGCGGGCGAAGCCTCTGTAGGGGCAGGCAGAGCATCGGGTGGTGCAGGCTGGCGAGAGATGCCCCATGCAGGCTTGGCAGGCGACGGGGAGGAAGAGGGTCCCGCTGCCCCACGTGCAGGAGCAGGCGTGGCAGGCGCGGTGGAGGCGGTAGCGTCACGTTCCAGGTCACCAGCGAGGAACAGCGACAACCCACCCTTGCGCCCCTTCTTCCTCGCCGCCTTCTTCCCACTGCCACCGCTGGCACCACTGGTAGTGTTGGTGGCAGCAGTGGTGTGAGCAGCAGCGCCTGCCATTGGTGGTGACGCAAAGAGCGCTCCACCAGCGGGCAAAACCACACCCACTGTGGATACAGAGACTCCTGCTGGATGGATGCTGCCAGGCCCGGCAACAGGTTCGGCGGGGCCAGGAGAGGCAGATGTTGCACGCGGAGCCTGGCCAAGGCAGCAGGGCGCAGCATTGAGGCAGGGGAACGGAGAGCACGATGGGTTTTGAGGCACGATGGGTAGTGGAGGTGCTGCGAGCAAATTTAGCAACAGGAAATTCTCGCAAAGCAGGCACTACAGGAGCTTGGGATTCCATACGGGAGCACAAGAGAGGAGCAGTAATGCAAGCAGAGTGGAATAAAATGCACCTCACCTTCTCCCTCTCCTGGCCCTCTGACTGCCTGTTAGGAAACTCCAGCCCTCCTTTTTTCCCACTCTTGTCCTTCCCTGCTGCAGCTGTGCCAGCACCCTTGCTGGGAGCGGTGTTGTTGCTCCTGTGTGTGGCAGCAGCGTCAGCAGTGCCATCACCGTGCACAGCCTCGCTCGCACTCCCACTGCCCCCCACACCACTTCCACCACCCGCACTCGCAGCACCAACACTACCAGCAGCAGCAGAAGCAGCACGGGCGGCAGCAAGAGCAGCAGCAGCAGGCCCACCGGCCTCCAGCATGGCAAGCACCTTCTCCAGCTGCGCCCTGCCCGCCACCTTCGCCCTCTGCTGTGCATCCAGCACCTCCCCTCCCCTCCGCCGCCCCTCCAGCATCTCCACCTGCTGCAGCTTCTTCCGCACCGCCCTCACCTGCCGCGCCACCTCACCCTCCGCAGCTGCGTCCACTCCCGAGCCTCCGCCGAACCTGGACGTGATTTCCAGATCTGCATCGAGGCCTGAGGGGATGAGCGCGGCCAAGGGGTGGGCGGAGAGGGAGAGGCCGGTATGGCGTGCCATGTGGAGCGCCGAGGCCAGGTCGGGGGAGGGGGTGGCATGCCACGTGGTGCTGTGGGCGTGGGCAGTGGCATGCGGGTTGGAATCGAAGGAATGAGAGTGCAGGTGGTCTTGGTAGTGAGGCCACGGGTGCTGCTGCCCATACTCGTGCATCCCCTGCTGCTGCTCCACGGCCGCCCCCTCGTAGCCCTCGTCGTGGTCGTCATCACCCAGCACAGGCTCGTTGGGTGCCGTGGCCGTGGGCAGAGCGCGCGAGAGAGCAATCAGTGGCGGAGCGGGGGGGGCAGAGGAGGAGGCAGAGGCGGAGGAGGCGGAGTGGGCGCGGGAGGCGGCTTCGAGGTGTGCGAGAACGTAGGGCGGGCAGAGGGCGAGCTGCTGCGGGGCTACTGTGGCTATGAACGCCAGGTTCGCCAGTGCCAGGCGCTGGGGGCGGAACGGGGGGCGGAGGGGGGGGGGGGGGGGGGGAGGGGGGGCGGGGGGGGGGGTTGGAGAGAGAAATGGCCAAGGGTACAGCGGGAGAGGAGAGAGCGATGTGGAGGAGTGAGACGGGAAAAAGGTTGAGAAAGAGCACGGCAAGAAACGGATGGCACAAACGAGTCAAGATAGCCTTTTTTTCACAGGGCGAGCGCACCTGGCAGTAGGGTGTGAGCAGGTGAGCTTGCACAGCATCGGCGATAGCAAGTACAGGCAGCACGTTGCGCACGTCCACCACGTGCGCTGCTATCACCGCCTCACACAGCTGCTTCAATGGCGCCACCCACCCCTGCCCCTCGCCCACAGCCGCACCGCACCCCGCCCCTCCACCTGCTGCCTCTGTTACTGCTGCAACAGCTCCCATACTTTCACCCACCGTTTCCTCCACCACCCCTGCCCCCCCGACTCCACCCGCCCAGCCTCGTCGCCTCATTCGCCCCCCCAGCTCATGCACTTGCTCCTCCTCGCCCCCCTCCTCATCGTCCTCCTCCACGTCCCCCCTGTTCTCCTCGCCCACAGCCCTCCCCCTCGCCCCACCTTGCTCGCCCTCCACCCCTGCATCTCCAGCCGCCCAAGGCACTGCCGCAGGTGGGGCGGGGAGGGGCGGGGAGGGGCGAGGGAGGGGCGGCAGCAGCACGTGTGCGACGGCGAGGGAGTGCAGGTCGCCCACGGCCACAGCGGCCGCCTGGCAGATGCCAGGCACGCGCTGCACCAGGGGGGGCACCGCTTCACCTCCTGCCTCTGCGCCTGCATCTCCGCCTCCTCCCTCTCCTGCTCTCACCCCCCCCGCGCCTCCTCCGGCGGCAGTGGCGGCAGCAGCAGGCGCAGGCAGGGGCGTGTCCTTCTGGGAGGCGTCCCACACGTACACACTGCCGCCCGCCGTCACCACGGCTGTGCGCCACTTGCCTGCTGCCACTGCCACCGCTCGCTGCTCCGCTAGCGCCAGCAGCTGGGGTGCCAACAGGAGGGTGGGCGATGGAGCGCGCACGGATGGAAGTCGTGCAGGGAGGTCAGCTTATGGACGGGGACGGCTTTCCACGCCATTTGCACACAGGGGAACGCAGCAAAAGATTGCTCACGATATGCTGACAGGGGGCAGGAAGGTGGGTGGTGAGGGGGGGTGGGAGGGAATGGAGAAAGAGCGGGCAGGGGGATTGCAGCATACCTGGTGGCACTTGAGGAGCGGGTCGTGCGAGCGCCAGTAGAAGACGAGCCCATCCTGTGACAGCACCGTGGTGTGCATGGCGCCCGCTGCCACCGCTGTCAGCTGCACCCGCGCCTGCTGGTGGAAGCGAATCACCCCGCCCCCGCCACCAGCAGCAGAGCCGCCCCCCTTGCGCACGTCCCTCTCCACCTTGACTCGCCGCGGCGTCACCAGGCGGTGCCCCCACGTGTACGCCTGCGAGGGAAGTGCGCGCAACACGGCGAGGAAACCGATGCATAATGTGGGCACACGAGGGCGATACGAGAGTTGAGGCAGCGAGGTGGAGAGGCGGGATGCATGGAGGGATAGGATAGGGGTCAAAAGAAAAGGGACGGAGGAAGCAAGTGGGGAAAAGGAGGGAGACGGAAAGACAGCAAAAAAGACGGAGTGTGAAAGAGAGAAGGGGGCAGGAGGGGGTGGTGGGGGTAATTAACCGAGAGGCGAGATGGAGGGAGGGAGCAAGGGTGTATGTGGCGGGCACGCACCTCCCCATCAGCGGTGAGCACGACGGTGTGCCTCTTGGCGGCGGCCACAGCAGCGATGGCGCGGCCCTTGAGGTGGTCCACGATGCGCGGCGTGCAGCTGGACGTGCTGTTGATGCTGCCGTACCCCAGCTGCCCGTGCGTGTTGCACCCCCATGTGAACACCTCCCCGCCCCCCGTCAGCGCTGCACTGTGCTTGTTGCCCGCCGCCACCGCCACCACTCGCTGCCGCAGCGCCGCCACTCGCCGCGGCGTCGCCTGCGAGTCCACTGCCGGGTACCCCAGCCGCCCCTCTGTGCGGCACACATGGTGGGTGGGCAGGTGGCAGAGACGGTTGAGTGAAGAGCAGGCGGGGGGGGGAGAGAGGAGGAAATTACGGGGCAGGACGGAATAGAGAGCACGTGGCGTTGGAAGCATGGATAAACACGAGGGAAGGGGGGGGGGGAAGCGCGAACGAGAGGGGGAAGAGAACAGGCGGGAGGTGGGGGAGGGGGGGGAGGGAGGAGTGTGGGGACGAGGAAATGAAGAATGCAAGAGCACAAGAGTAACGTAAAACAGGACTCTTCAACACATCTAACTTCCATTTCCTCCCTTTCCTTTCTCTCACGTCTGCTCCCTCTTCCCGAGCCCTCCTCTTCCCTCCCGTCACGTCACGTCCCCTCCCCTCCCGTCCCCTCCCCTACGCTCCCCTCCCCTCCCCTCTTCTCCCCTCCCCTCCCCTCCCATCCCTTCCCCCACCCTTCCCCATGCCACCCGCTGTGAGTGAGCGCACCGCGGTTGGAGCCCCAGGAGAAGAGCTCCCCGGTGTGCGTGGCGGCCAGCATGTGGTGCTTCGCCGCCGCCACCACGCGCACTGGGCGCCCGCCCAGCCCCGCCGTCACATGCCGGGGGAGAATCACCGCCACCTGCCCACTGCATGGGCGGGGCGAGGCAGGGCGGACGGGTGTACCAGAACGTGGCTTAACGAAACAGGGCTGACGCACACAAAGACGCCGGAAACTGCACGAGGAACACAAGCAAGCTCAAATCCAACAACGATGTCTTCCCTTCCCCCACGCCCTCTCTCCGCTCTCAGTCCCCCCTCTTCCTTCCCCATTACCCTTCCCTATCCCCGTCCCCGACCCGTCCCCTTTCACCCCCCCATCCCCCGCCCCCAGTGCGCACCTGTGCACGTCGAAGTCGGGGTGCCCCAGGCGTCCGCCCCGTCCGAAGCCCCACGTGAGCAGCTCGCCGCGCGCCGTCACCGCCGCGCTGTGAAACCGACCCGCCGCCACCGCCACCACTGCAGCCACCGGGCCTGCAGCCGCACATGCAGGTGGCGGGGGTGCCGTGGCTGCTGCCAGGTGCATGGACGGCGCGGCGGAACTGGCAGCATGTTCCCCGTCGCTCACACTCGCAGCACCATCGCCCGTGCTGCCGGTGGTGGTGAGGCCGTCGATGCGCGCGGGGGTGCGCTGAATGCGCGTGGAGCCCGTCCCCAGCTGGTAGTTGGCGCCGTTGCCCCATGAAAACACCTCCGCCTGCACCTGCGCGCCCACGGGGAAGGATGCGCCCCGCAGAGACGCGCGCGGGGACTCTGCGGTGGAGGGAGAGGCGGAGTCGCGCGAAGGAGCAGAGGGAAGCTCGCCGACGAAGGGAAGGGTGTCAGGGGCTGCGCGGAGGGGAGGAAGGGGTGTGCGGATGTGAACGAGAGAGCTACCGATTGAACTTGGGAGAGATGCGGAGGGAGGGAGAGAAACAAGGCTTGGGTACCCCATGCGCACGCCGTACCTTGGTGCAGCGGGCGCGGCAGCAGCTGCAGCGGCGTGCGGCCCAGGGCGTCGAGCGCGGAGAGCGAGGCGTTGTGCGCGAGCAGGCGCCCCATGACCGCCCAGTGCCCGAAGTGACACGCGCGGTGCAGCGCCGTCCACCCCGACTCCCAATCCTGCGCGCGGCACGGCGCCGACCACCCCGACAGATCGTACGAGCGGCACGGCGGGAAGAGGCGGAATGGAGTGGATGGTTTAAAGAGAGCGCATGGTGGGGGCAAGCGAAAACATGCGAGCGGAAGTGGGGACATGCGATGGGCCTGTCACTGCGCGTGGTGCCATCCGTGTCCCACGGGCCTCACCGCGGCGTCGGGGTCGCACCCCAGCTCCAGCAGCCGCGCCACCACGCCCACGTGGTTCTGCCACACCGCCGCGTGCAGCGCCGTTAACCCGCGGCTCGACCGTAGCCCGCTCAGCGCCTCGTCGCGCCCCATCCGCGCCGCTCCCGCTGCTGCCGCGCCGCTGCTGCCAGGATAGGAGGGCCCCTCTGCGCTGCCAGTGCGCTGGCGCCATGCGGCGATGGCGGCGTCGAGTGCGGGGACGGATCGCCGTTCTATCGCCGCGAAAATGGCGGCAGGAGTACCAGTGGAGAGGGAGGAGGAGGGCGCGGAGGATTGAAAATACAGGGAGGAGGGCGGGTGTGCGAAGGATGTGAGCGGGGAGCAGGGGGCGGGCGAGGGCGACGAGGCTGCGGACAGGGAAGAGGGCGCCGGATCGGAGTGGAACGACTTGCGAAAGGCCGGTGACGTCATCTTGCTGAATAACTAGGGGAAATCAAAGAGGCGAACGGGCGATCTAAATGGACTGGCGTTTGCGACGTCTCTACAATGGATCCACTCCCTCCCAGCGCGTAGAGCCCTATCTAAGCGGCCCAGATTCCAGGCAAGATTCTAAACAGCCGAAGCGGAACTGGGTGGATACGGAAGGCGCGCTCGTGCTTTACCCTACAGATCCCTGGACGGCAAATTGCGGCGCCAGGACGAGGAACGTTGAAATGTCGGAGTTGGCAAGACTTCTTGTCGCGCCGTGGAGAGGGCGACTCGGCAGGCGCCACCTACGCTTGGCACGGCACGGCGTGGGGTCTTTGGTATTGAACAACGCTCGAGCGCCGGGTAGGGGCGGTGGCGGCAGAGCAGCACGAGCCATGGGTGCCATGGAAATGCTGGATCCGGGCCGGGCAGCCTCCCTCTCCCTGTTCTTCCACGCTGGTTGATTGCGCATGAAAGGGGGAAAAATGGGAGGGGTCGCAGCAGTCCACAACAGCGGGGGGGGATTAGAGGGCGCGGAGGGGAAGGTTGGGGCGAAAGGGGGAGAAGCGCAGGTGGTAACCACAGGAGGACGCGTAAACTATTATGCCGATGTTATGATTTGTACTAACAGAGTGAAGTGACGACTTTATAAAGAGATTGTGAATACAGAATGCATGAACAATGAAGACAGCGAGCATTTACAGGGCGAATGCGTGCTAGGTGAGAACCTCGTGATGTGTGAGGTTTGGAAATGTCGCGATTGGTGCGGGGCGTCTCGGCGTTGGTTCGGTGCGAAAGTGTAGGCCGAGCCACACTGACGCGAACTGCTCGGGCCAGGCCCTCGGATTCACTTTGAGGGACGTAGAGGGATCAGGGTCCCTCTGCGTGGAATCCCTGATTGACAGTGTCTTTAAAAAAAAAAGCCTGAAAAATCAGCGTTACTTAAAAAGAAAAAAAAAACCTGAAGCATCAGTGTTCCCTAAGAAATAAGACTGTTTTTGGGTTGCGTAGCAACCCCTTTACATTTGGTAGCACTTTTTTCGGTCGCCTCGAATGAACAGTGTTTTTTTTCGTCTTTTCTCAACGTCTGAAGCACTCCTTTTTTTTTTCTTCTTTCTTTTTTTTGAGTGCTCCAGAGACGTGGAGATGCCGACACTGATACATAAGAGCTCCAAAAGAAGTGAAACCAAATGTAACCAATCATTCCATAATCGTCGATAAATACGGCGAATGGAACAATTGGTCGTCACAATTGACACCCAACACAATTAACGAGACAACACGCACCCAACCCAACATGTGGAAAACAACTCTGCCCCAACAACGATCCCTATCTGAAATGCAAATTTGACACAATCTAGCATCACACAACAAGATCACACAAACAACAAACGATAAACGATGACACGTATCAACAGTGATAACACGTACTACTAGTGAATGCTAAAATGCACCGGTGCTACAAAAGAGATGGTTCCGGTATGCTAAGGCAAGCAACGCTGCCCCAACAACGATCCCCATCTCAATCGCAGACCCGGCACAATCTAGCACCACGCAACGAAATCACACAAACAACAAACGATAAACGATGCCGCGTATCAACAGTGATAAAGTGAGAGACAACACGTACTACTAGTGAATGCTAAAATGCACCGGTGCTACAAAAGAGATGGTTCCGGTATGCTAAGGCAAGCAACGCTGCCCCAACAACGATCCCCGTCTCAATCGCAGACCCGGCACAATCTAGCACCACGCAACGAAATCACACAAACAACAAACGATAAACGATGCCGCGTATCAACAGTGATAAAGTGAGAGACAACACGTACTACTAGTGAATGCTAAAATGCACCGGTGCTACAAAAGAGATGGTTCCGGTATGCTAAGGCAAGCAACGCTGCCCCAACAACGATCCCCGTCTCAATCGCAGACCCGGCACAATCTAGCACCACGCAACGAAATCACACAAGCAACAAACGATAAACGATGCCGCGTATCAACAGTGATAAAGTGAGAGACAACACGTACTATTAGTGAATGCTAAAATGCACCGGTGCTACAAAAGAGATGGTTCCGGTATGCTAAGGCAAGCAACGCTGCCCCAACAACGATCCCCATCTCAATCGCAGACCCGGCACAATCTAGCACCACGCAACGAAATCACACAAACAACAAACGATAAACGATGCCGCGTATCAACAGTGATAAAGTGAGAGACAACACGTACTACTAGTGAATGCTAAAATGCACCGGTGCTACAAAAGAGATGGTTCCGGTATGCTAAGGCAAGCAACGCTGCCCCAACAACGATCCCCATCTCAATCGCAGGCCCGGCACAATCTAGCACCACGCAACGAAATCACACAAGCAACAAACGATGAACAATGCCACGTATCAACAGTGATAAAGTGAGAGACAACACGTACTACTAGTGAATGCTAAAATGCACCGGTGCTACAAAAGAGATGGTTCCGGTATGCTAAGGCAAGCAACGCTGCCCCAACAACGATCCCCGTCTCAATCGCAGACCCGGCACAATCTAGCACCACGCAACGAAATCACACAAGCAACAAACGATAAACGATGCCGCGTATCAACAGTGATAAAGTGAGAGACAACACGTACTACTAGTGAATGCTAAAATGCACCGGTGCTACAAAAGAGATGGTTCCGGTATGCTAAGGCAAGCAACGCTGCCCCAACAACGATCCCCATCTCAATCGCAGACCCGGCACAATCTAGCACCACGCAACGAAATCACACAAACAACAAACGATAAACGATGGACACGGAAACACACAAACCAGAACCAGAAACACTTTATCACACCGTGAAACGACACAAACGACAAAAACATCACGATGACAATACCACATTGGAAAACACACAAACGTAAAGAAAATGAAGGACGGCGCCACGGACAAGGAGTCGACGCATGCGGTACACACACAAAGCTAATGCACACAAGTATAGCTGCGATGTATCAAAGATGCATAATTGCTATTCACTCTGTCCTCTTTGCGCCTATGTTTTCCTTTGATACTTCTCTCCCTTCTGCTTCCCTTCTACCCCCTCTTTTCTCTCCACCCTCTTCCATTCCTTCTGTTTGCAGGATTAGACTCTTGTGTCCTGCACAGAAAAAAGAGAGAGTACAAATACGTTAAATTACAATTTGAAAATTAGTCTGACACATGCATGGATATGTACTTACACACATACTCATACATACACAAGTTTGCATCCACTTTTACACGCAGACAATCTCAAGCTTACAATCAAACTTTTGGAGCACCACTTCCATCCTAGGCAGAAACCGATACAAGTACAAGTATAGAGAAGAAAAAAGAAAACCTTAAACACTGAAACGGGCTTGTATTATGCTTAGACAGAGTCAGTTGACGAAAAACCAACAAGAATGAAATGAAAAAACAATGAAACCATTAAACAATCAAAACAAAGCAGCACCTACATGGTCACCACGACGCTGAGGAGTTTTCGAAGGTGTTGCGGGAACGGGTGGAGGGGCATCTTGTGCCATGCGCTTGTTGTTGTTGTTCACAATAGCCGTTTTGTCCTCCTGTGAAAAAATGTTAAGAACAGAAAAAACAATTTTGTTACCGTGTTTGTATACAAGGATAATAATATATCATATAGTATGCATAGATGTATGCATGTAGACAACTTTTCCGAATGATTTTGCGCAACGTAACGTGTTACTTACATGTCGACGCATTCGTGCAAATGAAGTGATGGTCCTCTCAAAACCATCTCTAGCTTGTTTTATGATCATCTGTAGTTTGACAGAAGGAATAATTAATTATAATAAAAAGAAACAAAAATATTGACGGAGTCGTACACCGACCGTAAGCTGAGAGAGCTCTACAAGGAGGGAGAGGGAAGGTAAGAACACTGGAGGAATGTTGGCGTGATGGCGCCATACGCTATTTTGCTGCCCGTGAGAGAAAGGTTTATGGGGGAGAGGGGAGGACACGGGAGGAAGATTGTCGTAATGGCGTCTTACGCCATCTAGCTGCACATGAGCTATGAAAGGGGTAAATGAGGGGAGTGGGGAAGAAATAGCACGTGATAAAAGCAACTGGCGTCATACACTCTTTTGTTGTCCGTGTTATGAGAGATGGCTATATGGGGGGAAGGGAAGAGAAGGCGGAAAGAAGGTTGTCGTGATGTTGTCATACACCATCTTACTGCCCGTGCGTTGAGAGAGCGGTATATGGAAGAAGAGGGACGGAAAGAACACGAGAGATTTGTTGGCGTGATGGCATCATGCACCATGTATTGAAGGGGGTATTGAAGGGGAAAGGGGGAAGGACGGAGCACGAGAGGAAGGTTGACATGATTGCAACCAAAGTGAAACATAAACATGTTTACTCAATACAGGGTCAAGCTCGCAACAATGACTTGAGTAAGCAAAATCATATATTTTACCTCAATAAGCCACTGATTTTCAAGCAAGCACATCAGCATCTGCCTCCTTTCCTTGTGCCCAATGGTGATCCATGCTGCAGTGCTGAAACCGTCCAACTCCTCTGTCAAAGCATGGGTGTTCACCGTAGCATGTACACCTATACGTGCGGTCTTTCGAGCTAAAAAAATGGAGTAGAAAACAAGGAAAAATAAAGCAATAAGAAGGTTAACAATACGAATATAAAAGGAGGGAATCCGTGTGCATGATATGACATTCTGAAACGCATAAAGGAAGGGTAACGGTCTAGATTAAAAAAAAGACGCATATGAAGAATTTATACAGAGTACATAAAGAATACATATAGAGTACATATCGAATACGCACCTCCTGTGGTGTTAAACACCACCGTGATGTTATTACTCTTGGTGGCATTCGTTGTGCGGTGCCCCTCTCCACAGATATATTCACCACTTGTGAAATCCAAACAAACTGGGGAACCACACGTGTCTATCTCCTCCGTGCTGTTTTTCGTGTCATTCTCTGTGTTCTTCTTTGTGTTCTCAAATAGGCAGGTCCA